TCAACTTTCCGCTTCTTAGTAAACAAACTATCATATATGTATACATATGTAAATAAATGCGAAAAAGGCAAGCAACTTTGAATACATATCTAGAACGACGTAAGAGAATTGCAATAAGCGAAAAAGTATGTTTGCCATCTTTTATATGAAAATCTTTAACTTCCATATAGTTCCTTATATGTATACATACATACACGATGTACGTCTACATTTATGCGGCACTTTATTTACATTTTCGGTTCCGTTTCCGTTTTATCACTACACTTTACTGTTATTTTCGCATTTTTCATTTGCCAAGCCGCCAAAATCAGACAGCCGTTTCCCCAGCCCAAATATCTCGATTGTAATACAAGTATACAACAACAACGAGAAGAAAAAAACAAAAAGAAAATAACAACCATTTGGTTAAGAAAAACCAAACAGAAAAAATAGCAATTTAAAGCGCTGCCAGCGAGTGCATTGTCACGGCTAGCGTATGAAGCGAAATTTGCTGCCAAATTATTATACAGAAGTGCTTGTTTAAGCGAGTGGATACATATGCATGTTCATTTACATATTTATATATGTATTTACGTGTGTATTAGTATTTCATATTACTCCTGTAGTTTCCCACATTTTTATTTGCAATATTCCGTTCTGTTGTGCTCCGCTCGGCAGACATTTTCACTTCTCTCCTTATAGTCTACTTTTAGGGGTTGCTCTCTATGGACCTTTCGACTTGTATAGTCTCTACTATACGCTGGCAATCCCTGCGTCTTCTCCCGCCCACCACGCACCACGTATATCTGTCAGTCAGCAGCAAGTTTGGTCCTTCTTATTCTTAATGCCATCCATTTTCGTATAATAAATCCGTAGACAAAGGAAGACTGCCTCGTATACAAGTCAAATAAATATATACGTTTCTGGGATATGCCCAGCAAACCTTTTGTTTGATTATAACTTGAGAGGATATCGATGTTAAAAGCTTTTTCGGGTAATATATTAGCATTGACAAGGAGCTTTCTATATACCAAACGAATCGAATCATAAATATGATTCTTTCATTTAGCTCGATCCCCGAAAAGAACTTTCTTCAAACATTGACATAACCAGTAGGGCACATATTAAACAAAACTGAACCATCGTATGATCACAGACTCACTTTCTGGAAGAACAGTTTCGAAAAGATCGGTCTCAGATCCACCTCCCGGAGAAACCTTTCTGTTCGGATGACTGTGGATGACGTAGAAAAGATGTGCTCTATAAGACGCGTATAGGAGTTGATCCGCCAGCTAATAATCTCAATACAAAATCCTCGTTTCATTACTTTTTCAACACATTAAACAACCGTTCCACAGATGCTGCCAGTAAGTTGTAAGTATTTGCTGAAATTCAACTTCAGACAATAAATTTTAGGAAATCTTTCCGTTTGCTGGGTTGTTGGGCATGTTGCTGCTTTAGAATTTATCCTTCCGCTGCCTTTTGCCATTGTTTATGCGCATGTTGCTTGTCATGTTGTACACGATGCTAAACACACCATCACATAAACGTTTATCAAATTTGTTTAAATGTAAATACAATATTATATGTATTGCATGCACTTGACGATGATTGCTTACGGAAATGTGGAGCAATCCCAAATGGAAATATGGGACATGCGAAATAGAAGATGAGAAGGTTTGGGGGAGAGAAATAATATGGGTAATACGGCTCTGGATAAAGTTTTTTATAGAAAAAAAATTATATATATATAATTGGTGCTTTGTAACCGCTGAAGCGATTTTAGGCCCAGCTCCTCCTGCGATTTGAGGTTTTGCGTCTTGCGGTTTTTCCAAAAAATGGTGGGACCTACAGCTCATAGTAGGCCGGCACCGAACGGCGGATGGTCTTTTATGAGAAGCTTTATTTCATGTCAGAAATATACACGGAAAGGTTGATGTTCCCTGCCGAGGGTCGACCGCAATTAGAAAATTTAGCTTAGTTTTTTTTGTAAACTAATTTTCTATAACTTTTTGGATGTTAGTACGACACCAGGATTTGAACCCGAACCTTGCGAATGGCAGTACACAATGCTAACCACTCAACTACCACGACTGCCACATTCTTATATAAAAACATTTATGGAAAAAAATGGCTGCCTGAGAGTTAAAATTTACAGAGAGCAGATCCCTCGAAAGGTAGCTCGATCACATCCACGCACTGGTTATTAGAGAAGTAATTTTGTCGAAAATCGGTTAGTTGTTAAAAATCGTCAAATATAATCAAACTTTAATATAAATTTGCAAAAAAAAAATTAATATTTTAATAATTTATTAACTCGCAGGCGGGAATAAAATAAAATCGCAAATCGATAGTTATCGATTGCACTACACACAGACAAACGAGCGGTGCTTACATCAACGGCGAATTCAAACAATATATACGAGTATTGCTGGAGTAAAGTAAAAATATATATACAAATATCTGCATCACTATACTTGTCTTAGAACTCAAATTTATTACCAATAATTTTAGATTTTTTAGATGTTTTTCATATAATAGTCGCTGGCAGCTAAAGCACTTGTAGTTAAAGAAGCTCCGTCCGTAGTTTCCAAATATTTCTGAAGCTGATAATTTAAAGCTACTGGTGAAAACCATCCTTTAGTAGCTACATTGAGCATCAAGCTCGTCAGCTTACAGAAGGAGATGCGTTAATAATACTTATTAATATTTAAAATTAATCAGCCATTCAAAATCGTTGTAATCAATTGTCAATTTGAGCATTTGGTATAATGAAACTAAAATTCACTGAGTCATACAAGTTAAAAAGGGTGAAACGCACTGGTAACAGTCAATAAACAAGAAAATATGAAGGCATTTCCTTTCAAGGAAAATACATATGTATTATATAATATGTGACACAAACGTAATGATGAATCAGTTAAAGCTGAGAAGAAGAATAATTGCTGCAACAACAAGAATTGGCAATGTCATAATGTCATTAATAACAATAACAACAATGTAATGTTGAACAATATAAGAAATAATTTAAACCATATACACACGCATATATGTACATATGTATATTGCAACTACACACCTTTGATATACAAAAGTGACAATTGGTATTGCTAATGATCAACACCTGTCAACAACAGTAAAAGCATATTATTTTTCATATATTTACAGCCACATACATATGTATTGTATATGTGAACGGGTAAATATGATTTTTGTTAAAGCCTCACTGGCCGGCAAGCATTGACTCGTTAATGTGTTGACGAGCTGTGGCCGATGCGAGGATGACTCTGCACTCGTTGCTCATGCAGCGCACAATATTTTTCAACGCTCTGCGTATAAATCAATGAAAAGTGGACAAAATAACAATATTAACCGTTCGTACAGCAACAAAAATATTGTTAATGTATTAACACGTTTGTTTGTTGTCTCTGACGCATCTCCAAAGTCTGTGTCTGTCGGTTTGTCCAATGCATACATGCACATACATATTTACAACTATTGAAAACAACTTAGACATGCGCGACCACAATTAATTAAAAAAAGAAAATGAAAAATAAATAACCAAAAGATCGACCGACACAACGGGAGCAGCACCAAATCATGCAGATCATCAACGTGCATTTGTTTGCTTTGGCAATACCAACAAGACCAGCAAGAGCAATAACAAAAACATTAAGTGTTACAATAACAACAGTCACAGCAAACGGTGATTTCCGAATAATGCAAACTACAATACGATGAGAGTCAAGCGAGAGACGCAATCAATGCGTTGGCAACGCGTTCAACACTTGTCAGTGATGCATTATGCCGTTGCTGCTGTTGCTGCTACTTTACATGTTGTTGATTTTGTTTCCTTTTCTCACTTCTGCTTGCACTTAAGCATGATCCACTTATTTGCTCGCATTCCGCTTCATTTGTTTGGTGTCACTGACAAGCATATGAAAAATTAATTTACTTCGGGGAACGTTTTTTATTAAAAACAAAAATATTGACAATTGAATACTGAAACCTACAACAACAACAAAATACTTGTTAATGAACTTGTGGGCAGTGAGAGAATGTGTAGTAATTGTAGGAGTGGCAGCCACTATTGGAGCATTATTCCTCAGAATTGCCTCAGAAGCATCAGTTAGGACCTGTAGTCACATCACTACATACTTACTTGCTCCCAAACAAATACATACATATATTAATGTACAAATGTACATATCACTTTATATATTAATTTGAAATAGTTTTGTATATTCGAGCACGAGAGCACTTACTGAAATTAATTCATCACACGTCAACAGTTAGGTTGCTCTGCTGGGGCTACGCTTTCATGAGAAGATTTAATGGACAATTTTAGTTATTTACGAAAAATCGCCCGGAATCGGAATTAAATTTTTATAAACTTTCTGTAAAATATACACATGGGCATTATGGGCAACCTCTAGCTACTGGCATTGCCAAAATTGGCATCCGTCTTGCTAGCAAAACAGTACGGGATATACAGAAGACGTCACAACCTTCCTATAATGCATTTTATTAAAGAGCTGGTAGCTAGATTGGTGTGGGGTGTAAAGCATTAGCGACATGCATAATCAGAAAGTCGTGTCCAATACCTCCTCTATTTCCTTCCATCTTCAGCTAGATCTAGCCTAAGATATCTCGGAGATTCGAAGTTCAAAGGACTAGAGGGGCTTCAAAATTTTAATATCCAATTTAGGCTCCCTTGAACTTCGCGAAAAAAAGACTAACGGATCTATCTACGGACGTTTGTCGACCCGTGTACAATAAATGCTTTGGGTTCTCAATTTGGAAGTAACTTTTTCGGTAGAAAAAAAATCAATTTATTTAAAGACAACTTATTGTATTCCATACAGCTTACTCTTTTAAGGCGCTTACCGTAGATTATTGGAACTTTTATTTGAAAGAATTTAGAAAGGGCTAATTAATTATTTACTGTACATAAATTATATTTAATGTTTTTATTATATTTTATATTTCTATTTTTGTTTTTGTTTGTATTTTGTACTCACTTGTATTCGACAGCCTTTCACGCCACGCTATTGGATTTGCTACCAATCCTTGCAGTCCAGGCCAATACAAATGAGTTCGTTCCACTATATGGCCAGCGTGTGTCTTCAAGGGCGCCCCTTGGCTTTGTGACAAGTACTGAGCCATGCCAGCAGCGGCGGCAGCGATCGAAAATCGTGGTATGCCACCTGGAAAAAGAGAGTATTCGAATATTAATAAGCAACGTTTATATATCGTCTAAAGCTACATTTAAAAATAAAGCCATTGAAGGGTCAGAGAGACAGAAAATTGTAAGAACTTTCAAAACATACAACAGGGAGATCAAAAGAAAATTACTGAGGTTGGTTACTACACTAAACCGCACAGACACTGTCCTAGCGTGGATACTTTAAGAAATATCTATAAAATATGTATTAGAGCGTAAAAATATCGAAAGGTGTCACATCATAGATTGGGGAAGGGTTTTTGGGCGGAAAATCTTTGAAGTGACGATCCGATGAATTATCTCTTTCGGAACGAAATTAATCACTCTTAATTTGTAGACTTTGACCATAGTGATACCGCAGTAGACATGCGAACACTTTAGTAAGAAACTAAACCGTCTGTTGTCGTCCAAAATGATTAAGTGAAATCAATTTCAGTACCCGAATCCCTATAAGAGAAGAATGGAGCTAAAACTAACATTTTGCTGACAGTTTCTACGCAGTTGTAGGTTTCGGGAAGAGCGGACGGTGGTGTTTTCTCACGATTCCTTGCAGTAGAATTCTCTCAGGTCACCCAATCACAGTATTTGAAAAAAATTTTTGGTCATACACTATCGCCGGTCTACAAATAAAGATCTCTTAAAGGAGTCCCTAGGCATTAAACTACAAGGTCTAAATGGGATAAGAAAATATTTTACAAAAATTACTCTTTAAAAAGAGAGGACGTCTCTAAAGTAATAGGGGCTCTATCAAGCCGCTGTCTAATAGCACGACTCGCAGAAAGACTGGAACTCTTTATCGGAGATGTAGCAGGAGCGGCAAAATTGACGATGAGGAGAACTACACAACTGATCTGCTTTACCAAAGCTAGTTGGCACCAAGATAATTAATTCAATTGGTGGATAGCGAAACTTAGCGGTCTCGAACATATGCCAACATAACACATCTTATTCTGACCTGAGTGAAATCGATGATCTTTCGTCGGTAGATACTCCAACCTTACCTACTTAATTTTTAGCATAAACCAGCTTTTGATTTTGATCTTATTCATATGATCAAGCACAAGCTATTACAGGCTCTTTTGATTGAAGCTTTGATTTACCCAACTACATATAGAAATTAAAAAAAAAAAATAGTCACGAGCATGAATCCCCTCAATTAACTCTTAGAAGCCAATAAAATCATTTGATTGCTATGGAGTTATTATAAAAGCAAAAAACATATGTATGAATGTACATAGGTATGTAATTACGCTCTCAGACTCTTAATATTATGCCTGATTCGCAATGCAGTCCGCAATATTTTTTTTTTGTATGATAATGTTGTTGTTTATTTTTTCATGTTCATTCTGATGTAATCGATTTGATTTGCTCCGCTTCTTTTCAGCTTCATTACTCATTTGTCGCATGTAATTTAATTTGTTGTCATTTATTTAATTAATTATGAGTTGTAATCAAAATAATATCGAAAATATTGTCAACGCATTGTCATGACGTCTGCTGACACACGAACATGACGGACACGAGGTTAAGTCTTTATATGATACAAACAAAATAAAAGAAATACTCAATTCGCCTCACAACCCGCTCTGTCTCTCTCGCGCCCATCACACTCGGTGACACTCAATTACTCCACTTAATTACGTTACAATAATTTAGTGCTTAAATTTAACGAACTTGCTTGACGTTTTCGGGCTTAGACAGTGCATAAATATATTAGATAATAAATTTAAAAAATAATAATAATGACTTGTGGTTGTTGTTATTGAAATGAGAAATATGAAGTGGCAATACAATTGGTCGTAATTGAACGTTTAAAATTATTGATCTTAAAAGTTTGATTATATTAGTTTTTACTACTATTTATTGTTTATATACATGTATGTACGGGGTATACCGGATTTGGAATGAAGATCAAATGAGAATGGCATATACATATGTACATCGTCCACCTATGTCGGAAACGGAGCCTTTTTAGGCTGAAGTTTTGAAATTTCTTATGATCGGGGATGACGACGGAGCTCAAAAGTATGGAAGTGTGTGGGAGACCTTTTTCCTTTACTATGAACTACGTTTTTTTCTTTTCTTTCCTTTTCTTCTCTCCTTAGGCTGATTATTCTTTCAGCCGACCATGTGCGGCTCATACGTTTGGATTTCTAGGCACCTAAATACTAAACTATTTTATCTCAGCAAAATTATCTGCCTGAAAATTTCTGGAACACATATTAAAGCAATCGGAAGCGATTTCTTAGTCAAATAAGCGTTTCTATATTCTAGTTTGTCAGTGTGGAAGTTTGAGTTTGGTATTGGAACTCACATCTCCATTTTTCTACGGGAGGTAAAGTCTTCCTGAACCCTGTGGAAACCCGAGTCTTTCTAGTACACCTTGACTTGAGAACTTGTTAACTTAACCAAAAGAATTTCGGTAATTTGCAACCACCGTTCCCTCTAACTCACCTCCAGTTAAAGCACTTAGACCCGCCGATGTAACCGGCGGTGGTTTCGACAATATCGTATCGATGCCATGCGGATTAGCCGCACCTTGCGTATGAGTTGTTGTCGTCGTTGTTATTGAGCCGGATATACCACTGCCCACCACACTACCGCTACCGTGGCGCTCACCCATCAAATGCGTCTGTTGACTGTTCGCATAACCGTTCATCATGCCCGACGCACCGCCACCAGTCTTCATCTCAGTCATTGAGTGTAGAGCTGCCAATGGTGGTCCGAGAAAACTCAGCGGCAACTTGTGTTCCAACATATTATTATTGTTGTTGTGATGTACGCCTAACGGATGCACACCACCAATGCTGTTGTTATTGTTGTGATGTGTTGCCTGTAACGCGGATGCATATTTAGCGCGACTGGCGGAAAGATTCTCTGGACTATAGTCGGGCGGTGGCGGACTTGATTCACTATTATTGCCCGCCTCTTCGCCACCACTACCGCTACGTTGACTAACCGGATAGGATTTGGAGCTATCAACGCCTGGACTGGAGTTATTGTCATACCGATTGCGTTGGTGTAGCGAATTGGCGCAGTTATCAGGCGACTCGGATTGCAGGCGGGACGAAGAAGCGATGGAGGAATGATCAGCACCAGCGCCACCGCCACTACTCGCCGAATGCAACGGCGGTGGTGTGGAAGAGTCTTCTGCAGAACGCGCCGACTTTGTGCCGCACGCATGCAAGCTGTGCAATTGTTTCGTAGGCGCTTTCAGTAACATAAGCGGGCTGGTAAGATTATTGTTATTCGCAGCATATGCAGCTGCCGCCGCCGCGCTATGATAGTCAAGCAAATGTTCGCGACTCGCCGCGGCAGCAGCCAAATTTTGATAGTCGTGGTGCGCGGCAGCAGCTGCGGCGGCTGCCTCTGCGAAACCGTTCGTTAAACCGGCGGCATTTGGTAGATGGTGATGCAAGGCAACAGCGCCGGTAGTTGGACTGCGATTGGCCACCGAAGCCATTGCCATAGCCGACGGTGAGCTGCTCTGACTTGTGGCGAAACTGTGATGTCGCATATATGGGTTTATGAGATCCATGTTGTCTGTGTTTGACGACGCTAGTGGCGGCGGACGCAACTGTTCACTGCCGTGGCTACTATATGTGGGTAAAGAGTAATCCGTTGATGAAGTGCTCGTCGTACACTCACCAGCGCTAGCGAAACTGTTAAGGCGCTGATAGAAAGCGGCGGCGTTGCTTGGAAAACCAGCGCCAGTTATGGCGGCGGCAGTGTGGCCGTGTCGAAAAGCGGCTAAGTTAAAAGCGGAGTTCTCTGAAAGCTGAAATTGCTTCTGTGGCAAGAGCGTTTGATGAGCGCTTGGCGATGTGTTGTTGGTATTGTTGTTATAGGCATGTAATGTTGGCGGTAGCGGCTGCACCGCGTTGATATCGAAAGCTCGGTTCGGGCTTTCCGAGCCCGCGGGCGTTGTCGACAGGTAGGGACTACCCAGCGTGGACGAGGAGTGGAGCTGAGTGTTACAGAATTTGGAAGTGGTTATATTTTTATTTGATTATACTCTGTTACTGGTCGCTCGCAATATTTTATTTTAGCACCGTTAAGCACTGCACACTTTTACAAGGAAAATATTTAAATAGATTTTTTTTTTTTGGTGAAACGCTCTATATTATATATCTAATAGTTCTATAAAATTATTACTTTTCTCATTTTAGTATTTAGTTCTCTTCTGAAATGAGCACTTTTCTTTTAATATTAGTTGTCACTAAAACCTTAAATCAGTCTCGAAGTCTAGAAAATCAAATTGTTAGATTTTTTTAAACTAAACCCGCTTTTTAGTTTTCTTTCGCTTGAAATTTTTGTATGTTTTTTAAGTAATATAATAAATTTCACTTAAATTTTCTTCTCAAATGCACTTTAAGAAATCTTGTGTTCAACATCCCCGAGTAGCGAACTCTTCCGACGATGTGCTCAAATATTTTCTCACAAATAATTCTTAACCCGTTGCTGCTCCAATTCAATTAACATTATTTTTTAGCGATTTTTCATACACTTCCATGCGCGTTACCATTTACCGTCCGAATGATTAGGCCTAAGACTACAGAATGATTTTCAAAATTGACTACCGTAGATGTGTCGACGACTGAGCGCCGTCGCTCCGTCCGCAGCAGCAGCTAAACTCGGCAAACAAACACAATAAAAGAGACCAATAAGCCATATTCCGAAATTCCGCACAAACCAACGGCAAGAAATTGAAATCCCAGCACACAGCAGCAGCAGAAGCAGACAAAACAACACCAACACACGCACTTACTCTCTACGGACAGATGTTCACTCGCAGTTGAGGCGTTTTGTTTCCTCAAATCCGCTTTACCAAATACCTCCGTTTCCGCTCGGTTGCTTGCCAACCAACTGACTTTCTGCTGCATTGACTTAGTCAGCCAACCATTGTGGTTGTTGTTGTACACTTTTGGTAAAATCTCTTTCGCTTCGTGTGTGTGTATGTGCGTTGGCTCAATCAAGCTTTGGTTTTACAAGCGCGCGCGAGAGAGAGAGAGAGAGAACTGTAACTCCCTTTTATTATTGTTGCTGTTGTTAACGAGTGTGCTGTTGTTAGTGTTGTTGCTTTATTGCTCATGTTGAAGGGTTGTTCTTTTACAAACGTTCACTACAACAGCAACAACAACAACAACAACGGCAACGTGGCCCGAGGTGGAGGCTTGCCAGTCAGCCAGTCCGCCAGCCACACACTCGCTTTTCAATGTACTTTGTAATTCGAGTAAGTAAATCAGTGGAGAAATCTGTGTTTGAAAATCACTATAAACAGCAGTAGCAACAACAACGTTGGGTAGTGTATATGACGAACAACAACAAGTTGGTCGAGTTGGAATTATATGGAATTGGCACAAAACGAATGGGAATTTTATTATGTACGTCATTAAAGTACACTATTCCGGATTGGAGGAGTAAAGGCAGGGACGGTTTGATGCAGTGGAGCGAATTGTTTTTGGAGCGGTAGAGGGCCGAGGAGAGAGGAGGTCATAATAGCAAAATTATATGTGTGCGAGACTCTGAACAGTGAGCCGAAAGTAAATAATAAATATTATTTTGTATTTGTAGGAAAATCTGAGCCCGAAATTGTTTCGATAGACGTTTACTACTCGATTGATTACATCTGGAAATGGTGCATTCCTTGAAAGGGAAGTTTCTAAATCCCTAGCTTCTCTTCCGAGCCCCAATATAATCAGGAATCTGTATTGTTTCAAGAAACCTGAACAGATATGAACTGGTCATTCCTATGACCTAGGAGCTTCACACGTTCACGCCGGTGCCGATTTTCATTTGTTTTGCTATGAGCCGGCGCGCTTCATCTGCGGGCGCGTGATTATTGCCTGTTCAGACCTGCAGCGAGATCTTATAACGCAAGCTTTGTAACTCGTGCCGTTTTTTCATCCGGAAGTAAATATATTATTATTGTTATTAAAAATAAATGTTTTTAATGAATAAACGTAAAATTTTGTATATTATTTTAATTCTCAAGGTCCAATAGTCAAATAACACAGAACACAATCGAGTTCGTACCGCCAGTGGCCCGCGCCCCCCGACGAAACAGTTTAGTGCGGGCCACCGGTGACCCGCGACAACGTGCACGTTTACGATACACAGTTTGAGAGCCAATAAGGCACGGTGTATGCGTCTGGTCGGAAGAAACGCTCGGTTACTCAGTAAAGCACTTAAACTCACTTCTTCTTTTCCTTGTTGGGAGTGACAAATTGGAAATAGTTGCCGTTAGGTTTAGGTAAGCATGGGTCTCCAGTTCTGAATCTCTTGCAGCAAGCAACAGAGCCCAGAAGGGTATTTTCGGGTATTTTTCTCATGATCTTTTTACACACTCTTTACACCCAACGGGCACCACTGTAAGTCAATCGGCTCAAATGAAGTGCCTCAAATGGTTTGTGGCGCAAGTAGGTGCTTCCACACATACTTACATACATGCACATATGAATGAGCATTACCGGAATATAGGAGTTGTTGTTTCTGCTAATGTGGCAACGATGAGAGTAAGCGACGGCGTGCGAGTGCGACAGAGAGTATCCGCTGACTGTCGTGCGAGTGAGAGCGAATCTGTGTTTATTTGTTTAAAATGTAATAAATATTAAGTGAATTGTGCACTTTTTTTCATAACAACGACGGTGGAGCAGCAGCAGCGTACACCATGTAGGCAACAATAACAAAAAAGAGAGAAAAAATCAATTTGCCAGGTTTTTAATGAAGTTGATATAAACGAGTTGTATTGTTTGCCCTGGTTTTATTTTTTGCTATGCTAATACTTTATATAGTGTTGTGCATTAAAAATGATTAACAACAACAATGCGTACGAGAGTGAGTAAATATTTGCGTTTGATGGTGGGTAAGATCATTGCTAATTGAAAAATAATTAATTAATTAAATATTTTAAAAGTGACGATCATTTTAGTAATGTAATAAAGGAAAAAAAATTAAACTTTTTTATTCAACCAAAAATAAGTTTTGCTTGCACTTAAGAAAACAAAACTCACAAACTTGATTCTGCCGTAATTTAGCAATTTTTATTATCACACATATTTTTTCGTTTATCTAATTTTTTGAACTTTAGTATGTACTGTACATACATATGTGTGCTAGTGTGCTTATGTGTGTACGTATGTATATGTATCTCTGCATGTCCGAGTTGTTTATGAGTCCATTATAACAATAATAATTATTACATTATTTTTACCCATTGGCGCATGCAGACACGAATGTATAATAAAAAGCGCAAAATAATCGACCAAGTGATCCTACATTCACACACACATGCGCACACACACACACACGACCCCAAATGCGGGGTGAAAGCCAGTGAGCCAGCCAGTCAGTACGCCTCGGCACGGCAGGGTATGGTGTGACTCTCCATTTATTAATAAACTACATACAAAAATTTTAATTTACTCAACCAAAAAACATCAACAGGCAATACACGCCTGTACACACGGCCACATACAAACACACGCATGCATGTGAGCACATTCACACACTTTCCTATTTAAATATCGCCTTCTTATTGGATTACTCTCTTGCTGAGCGTGGACGTGAGCAAGTGTGTGTGCGTGTGTGCAAGAAGTGCAGAGGAAATGGAAAATGAAACACGCTTTGGCCACACCTCTTTTGTAGCGGTGTTAACGGTGACCGACGACATCTTGGACGCCATTGTTGAGTGCTTGTGATTGAGTAGTGCGAGAGCGAGAGAGAGAAAGCGAGTGTGTAATTTGCATGATGTAACTCGTCAAATGCTTGGAAAAACTCGTTTTTATTTCCACATTGTTGTTGTTTGAGTGCGAAACGTATATCTCAATTGCGGCTGAGTGCTTTTGTGAGTGTACTATGGTGAATAGCACATTTCACCATAAAATACATATGTATTGTTCTTAATTTTCACGATGTGCTGCTGGAAAAGTTCATGATGATATTACGCTCAAGGCATTTCGATTCATAGTTGCAGTTGCATTGGGCCTTTTAGTAGCAACCACTTACAAGTTATGAGGAGAGAGAGCAACTTAGCAGGTCTGGTCTTACAATTGACTTGATAAGTCATGGACCTTTTTCCATTGTCAAAAACTTAGAATTTTTTGGACTTTGTAGCAGGCGGGGAAATCGAGTTTCTTCTTCAACTGTTTGTAAATATTTGAATGCCAATCATTCTTTGATTGATCCGCGGAATGGCTACTGTTCATAAACTCTTCGGAACAGTCCGATCATTTGGGCAACATGTATCGACCAATTTTTGCCAATTGATGCCGTCTGTCGATCACGTCGGGCTTATCTGCACAGATCAGTGATTTCACATAAGCCCTACAAAATAGTGCTGCGGTGTTAATTCGTACGATCTTGCCGGCCACGCCTCCTTCTCATGGCGTGAGATAAAGCGCTCAGCTAAAGTTTCCTTCAACAAATTGATTGTTTCGTTGGCCGTATGGCCATTTCATGAACGAAAAAGTCATCAATCATGGTTCCATAGAAATCCGCCTTGACTATAACTATTTGGCCGGCTTCGTTTTTGTTGAAATATATAACAAACAGTATATTATTGAGGAATTGACGGTATCTCAACAATGGCAAT